GTAAGTATGTGGTCATGCATGTACACTGAAGTTGATGCTTATCCTTATCCTTAAGGGGGCAACGTGATATGGTTTAAAGAGGTGATTTGCTTTGTGCACTGGTTAATGTATCTGGAGATACCATTGGAGTAAATACCTAACCTGGTTTACGGGCAAGTGTATACTGACCTGACTATCTTAAGAGATGCAGGTAAGCGGTTTTCCCAACAGATGGTGGTGATCACTATGATGCAGGATGGAGACACTTTGCATGGAATTGGAGGATATCTGTGAATGTATGGTGGAATAGACTGAGATATATCTGATTTCATTTTTTGATTTTATATTTTTGCATGGATCTGGGGACCATGTCAACATTTTTTTTAAAAATTACACGGAAATGTTGGTGATATAAAAGATTTTATTGAAGATGTTCACTTTGCACGGACTGATCTGTCTACTTGCACTATTGTTTTTTGCATTATACTTCTGATGTGTGTTTTACATCTTGATTTAAATAATATGGAGCACAAATATGGGTCTTACACTGAATAGGCTATATAGATCAATCTTTTCTTTTACTCCACCTTTTTGTTTTTTATTTATTATACTGCTGAGCTGTAGGAAAAACAGATAACAAAGCAAATGGCAATCTACAATCACTAGCATTAGTATTAAAGTTATATTAAAGTCCTTTCTTTTTTTTTTAAATAGCAAACATGTCATACTTATCTGCTCTGTGCTGTGGTTTTGGATAGAGTGCTCCTGGCCCCTTCTTCCTGCTGATTGCCCCCAGAGCAAGCAACTTGCTGTGGGTGCACCCAAGCAGACACGCTCCCAAGCTGTGGCTCTGTGTGTCCATTCACACACAGAGCCATGGCTCAGCCCCACCCCCTCCCTCTTCTGATTGTTTCACTGGCTGTGATTGACAGCAGTGGGAGTCAATGGCTGCCATTGCTTCCTCAGCCAATCAGGAGTGTGAGTCCCTCTTGTGGACATTGCTGGATCAAGAGGGGACTCAGGTAAGTATTGGGGGGGGGATGCTGCACACAGAAGGATTTTTATCTTCAGGTAAAAAATCTTCAGCTTTTAGAACCACTTTAAGGCTGCAGCAAAACACTTTAGGCAAAAGTGGCAGACACTCTTGTATAAGCAACCTCAGTACCTCTTACAGTAGAGGTGGAAGAGAAGCCACAGTAATGTTGGTGTTATACAGTAACTCTTAAATGCCACACAATATCACATAGGCATAGCCTACTTTACTAAGGCGGTGTCTGCAAGAGGGGTGAATGACTGGCAGATCCATGGAACAAGTGACACTTAAGGAACCTGAACAGGTTCTGTCCAACAAGTCTGGAGGCCGGTGAGTAGCAGAGCATGCAACATTGTTCCTTATCTTTTTCTCCTCAGAAAGGAACCTTTCCCTAAGGTCCCTGACAAGCATGGATTCTATCCCTACTCTATCCATCTGCAAATGTGCACCAAATCCAGCAAGGCAGTGGCATTTATTAACACTGTCCATGCTAAATATGGCCACTAAAGGTTGCTCATTGTTGCAGTGGCCAAGCGGAGCACTGCCTCCTTAGTGACACCTACACAGTTTACAAAGGAATATATTCCTCCCAGGTTCCACGCATGCACAGAGCACTGCAACGCAATGCCATCAGCCAAATGGAGGATGAACTACACCTGCCTACACACTGCTCCCTCAACAATCTGAAATAGGTCCACCATCAGCATTACATGTTATTGAACACAATAAATAAATCTTACAAAGTCTGTATCAGTGGTTGGCTGTTTTTCCAGGAAAAGTGTTAGTGAAAAGCTCTAGAATAAAATATATTATTAGTGGGGGGGCACTCTAAAGGGAAATCCAAATGTATAACAGGGAAAAAGCTAACAATGCTAAATAATGCATTTCTTGACATGACTGGGAGTAATAATGGGCAGGGTATGTAAACAAGGAATTGAATGTTATAGTAGAAAGGAAAATGTCAAACCCATAGTTTTCCCTTACTAAATAATTCTCATATGCTTGTAAAAAAATAACTAAATGGAAAGTAAATCAATAAAACAAGTAACTAACTTCCAAAACCTCAGAATATGGATCAACATAAATCTGAAGAATGATGTTGACATCAGAGCTGGAATCGACAATGCCAAACATATTATTCTAGTCATACAAAGAGCTCATGAGGAACAATATTGCTCTAAGCATGAAGCAGGAGGGTTTCAGGAAAGCAGTGAGCCTGGGGTCTTCTGCCAGAGAAAAAAAAAGTGTGGTACATGCAGCACACAACAACAAAAATTGGGTGTGATTTTTTTGTAGCTTCAGTGGCTTTAAGTAGTGACTGCTGGTTACATAGTAAAGTAAAAATGCCTGGTATGTGTGGGGTTGTGTGCCTTGTGTGGTCATTTGGATCCTGCTTGGCAACTTTCCGACAGGGTTGCCAACCTCCCACAACCTTTTCTTACTGACAAAACATGGAAAAGTTACAGACAGTGTGCATTTTTTTTACTGAAAACCGGAAATATGACATAAACTTCTAACATAAACTAAGAGAATTAGAATTGGTAATTAAAAATATAAACAATATGTAAAAAATAACAATGTCCATAGCAAGTAATCTGCTTGGTTTTACAATGAAAAAGTGAAAACAGTGTGACAAAATGTGAGCATGACTATTACAGTATTTTGAAAGACTTGAGAAACCCTGGGACCGAGCAGAAAAGAAGTTGAATGGTATGCGTAGTGTGCTGTGGCAAATGATGGTCATAGTTAGGTTGTGTCTAACAATGTGTTATGGAACATTTCTGCCTGAGACACTGAAATAAAAGTTAACACTGCAATTGCAGGAACAAATTCACAGGACACAATCACTGTTTTAAAGTATCCGTTCTTAGAACATTTATTTTATTACAGTCTATTTTATACAGAATAGAATAATGTCACATTTCATATGTCATAGACTATGCCTAACAGTTACGAAACTAAAACCTTGAGAAGGTAGAAGGAGAGAGAGAAAACCTCTAGGTCTGTTGTGTCTTTATCTTAAGTGAAGGGCACCGGGCATATTTCAACATAGCAAGCAAGATGGAGTCTCTTGTGCTTAAATGAACAATACTTTGAAAGTCCGTGTCAAGTAGGAATGGCCTAAAGGGGAATGATTAAACAGGAACTGAGCCTAGTCCCTGTATACACTATACACATATTCCACAATCCTTGTACCCACAAAATACTCCTAATTACTGTACCACAACTGACAGTCTCACAGATACACGTAAACCTCAATATTAAGGATCATTTTAAAAAATGTAAACTTTCATTTACATATGCTTTTCTGCACACAAAAAGAACAAATTTTGCCTGACTGAGCCTACCCTAAAGAATAACTTAATTAAAATCAGCATCTGTTAATATAATGAACTCCTTGGTCAGGAGAATGCAGTGTACAACATATAGAGAGTGAAAGAGTCAGACTTTTGTAAGCCCCATGATGTTTGTGCAAATGTTTATGAAAACAATATTTTTACTAAAAATACACTAGAATCGTTATTAGTGGACACAAGCATAGCAAAACTAACTGTCTAATTTCATTCTAAATATAAAAGCTAAAACTGTGTTGCCTTATTAAATAACAATAGACTTAGAATCCCCATTTCATTTATCTACAGAACCAGATGCTTTGCAGATGAATGAATAGAAGCCTCTGCCCAGAGCAACTCCTATTCATTCACAAATTGCAGCATAGGAAATATAGTTTACTATGCTTCAGTAATGAATGCACACAAGATCGATCAGTAATGATGAAACTGGACATGTTTACAGCTCCCCCATTCGCACGCTCTTATTCCTGATACCCAACTCCCACCCCTGCAGCAGCTGGTGGGATGGAAAGAAGGGGAAGATGGTCAGCAGTGCTGTAGGGAAGATACGCTAGGGAATCAGTGAGGGGGATGTCAGTATAGGGGAGGTACAGTCGGGGGGAATCTATTTGGATAAGTAAATCCCCCTGTGGCTCCCATGCAGCACCCCAAGCTGGAGGGAGGGGAGAGGAGGAGAAACTGGCAGTTGCAGGGGAGCCACAGCAAATCTGTGCTGTGGGTAAAAATCTGCACTGCTGTGGGAGATCGGTGCAGTGTGTGACAGGGCACAGGGGTCCCTCCTTCCCTCGGGGCCCATGTGCTCAGCACACACTTTCCGACTGGATGATACACCACTGGAATGAAGAAAGGTTTGTTGTTCATGCAAGTCTGGTTTCAAATATGGTACAGGAACATTTTCTCTCACAATATCCCTAAAAAAGAAAATCACAAGTCTTTGTGTGGTTGTACAGGTGGATCTTGAAATTCAACTGAATGGACATGGTCACAAATAAAGAAGTGCTGTAAAAAGTCACTGAAGAAAAACACATATGTTGGAAGGAATACAAATTAAAACATTTTTGACCATGCCACATGAAACTTGATTGGAGAGGAGCGGTGCTTACTGTGCAAGAGAACAAGGTAAAGAAAGTGAAAGCGAGAAGAAGAAATTGGTATATGGATGACATCCAGGAAAGCTGTAACTTAAGACAGAACATTAACCTTGTCATCCATATACCAATTTCTTCTTCTCACTTTCACTTTTTATACCTTGTGGTAATGGTAACAGTTGAAAATAAACTTATTTCATTTTCTTTTTATTTGCTTAACGTAACTCAAGGAAGAAAGTGTATACAACGTACTTACCTCTCTTGCTGCCTGTGCTATCTGTGGTGATGTGGCGGAGAGTGGAAGGAACCATTGAGTGAAGTGAGGGACTAGAAGACTGAAACTACCAGAAGTGTCTGCAGTGTCTGCAGTGTTTGGAAGCATGGGTAGTGTGAGAGAAAAGCATATCCTTTCTTTGCTGATAACTTTTTATTAGAAGATGTATTTACACAATATAGTTGCTATAAACAGACATTGAGTGATTTTTTATGAGGACATATATATTGCTGTAGGGATGGCTCACCAATCCTATGATAGCTTTGAGTATGAACAGGGGCGGACTGATCATTTGGAAACTCAGGCACTGCCCGAGGGCCCGTAGGGAGCCCCATGAGATGCCCCTGGTACCTTTTTCATAGGCTTTTTTGAGTTTGGGCAGGGACACAGGGGCCCCATGATCTCCTATTGCCCGGGGGCCCCATGAGTTGTCAGTCCGCCCCTGGGTATATGAGCAAGGTAAGGTATATCAAGTTATTGATATACATTGTATCTGTTTTGTAAATTTACCAGACTATATTCTAACATCCTATTATTTTAAGGACTTGGAAGAGCAACAGAGAATCTATACTCATCAAGTTAATGAAATTCTGTCTTTAGATTTATATTGTATTTTTTCCTAGAGCTAATATTACTCTGGCAATGTGCACGTCATTATAATTACTAGATGTTTTTCAACTGACACTTTTGTGCGTATTTAATTTTTTAATGCAGCTTTGTCCATAATCCCTAAAGCACAGTTATATATTTGTGATCTGCATCCAAAATAAATGTAGAAATGTGTTCACACTACTTAAAACTGTCTGAAACAACAAACAAGAAATGGTATGCTGAAAAGGCAATATGAGTATTCAAAGGGGATCAGAAAGAATAACATACATTTACAGTAGTTGACAGAAACTGAAGACAAGATTGAAATAAACAGGTCTTTTTCGTTCCAGAATGAAATGTGTCATCTTTGGCTTGTTTGCCAATTATACTGACATAGACACAAGGGAAAAATTATTTGAACAAATTGTTCTGAAAGATAACTGAGTGTTCATGTAAAAATATGGAATTTGAATAGCTGAGAAATATATTTCTTGAAAAAAAAAAAGGAAAAAAACAGGCTAAAGGTGTAGCCTGATGTAAATGGACATAAGTCCATTTACATCCAGCAACCCTTAGATCTAACACAGGTCCCCTGTCAAAAGGCAGACAAACAACAAAAGTGACATCCATCCTGTTCTGTTCTGATTCGGCAGGAAATTTATGCATACCTGAGTGAAAGGACCCCTAAATGAATATATCCTTTAAAATAGTCTTTCTCAACCTTTTCATCACAGAGGAACCCATGAAATCACTTTCAGTCTCAGGGAACCCCTGCTAAAAATTACTATATCTACAACTCATGATACATTAATGTGATGGTCAGTGGGAAGAATGCTCCTTACACGTGGTCACTGAGAAGAATAGTTGAAAAAATCAATGCTGTCCATGGGAACTTAGAAGGCAGAAATTGCTAATTGCACAAGAAACTTCTAGCAATCTCTGGAAGAACTCTGTGGTTTCATGGAACCCTGGTTGAGAAACCCTCCTTTACTACATATGTTAGTAAGTAGATTTTTAACAATGTAAGCAAGAATTTCCTTTCTACTGAGTTGAATGTTGCAACTAAAAAAGGCAGAAGACTGGTGTAACATCATAGCAGAAGCCTCCTCATGTCTCATAGAACAACCTTGAACACATTCATTTGACCACTTAAAAAGACCCTGTCAGCAACTTAAAAAATTACAGGTAAAAAGAGGGAAGACGTGAAGGATTGAAGAGGAATATTATTATTATTATACAGGATTTATATAGCACCAACAGTTTGCGCAGCGCTTTACAATATAAGGGAGACAGTACAATCAGGGGCGGACTAACCATTTGAGCACTCGGCACTGCCCGAGGGCCCGGGGTTAGTAGGGGGCCCCATGAGATGCCCCTGGTACCTTTCATTGTCTTTTTCATAGGCTTTTTTGGGTGTGGGCGAGGACCCAGGGGCCCCATGAGTTGTCAGTACATACATTTCAGTACAGAAGGAATGTGAGGGCCCTGCTCGTGGAGCTTACAATCTAAAGGAGTACAGAATATTACCTGAGTGACAGCTCTGAATCAGAAGCAGTTTTAACGATTTTAAATGTCTACACAAGGGAGACTATTACAGGTGACTAACATATATACAATATGTCAACTGCCCATATGATCCCATGGGAAATATTTTGTTGAAATCAGTGGACTGGCCACAGAACTCTGTCCAACAAAGGCAGGCAGAGGGAAAAGGATTGGTAACCACTGTTGCCTGTGGTCTTCTTGTAGCCCCCATTACAGACTTGCCATTTCTTGTTTTGCACTGTGTCTCTTTGTGGTAGTAGCAATCTTGGTAGAATCAAGGCTTTTGCTTTCTCATATTAGAGAACCCAGCAACAACAGTGGGCAGCACAGTAGTGACATCACTGAATCTGACTCCAAATCTCCTTATAGTAGTCACCAGCAGCAGTGATTTATTCTCATACTGCAGATATACAGGATAGACATGCATGCCTAGGCACCATTGCATATCGGAAGTGCACTGCTAGCTAACTTTTAGGCGTTCAAAACAAAACGTAGATTTTTTTCAAAGTAATCTAAAAAATTGTATATTAGTGGGATTTTTAGGGATACTAACAAAAATTGTGTAATAGAAACAAATTAGAAACAAAATTTAAAAAATCACCTTATCATAGTTTTTCATAGAAATCATTCCGGCTGTTTTTACATCATAAATTCATAGAATCAGCCTTGAATATGCAATACATGTACATCAGCAGTTGGAACCTAAGCAACAGTTATTGATTTTAACACCGGTATGGCGATTATATGGCTATTGCTGTTAAACAGGAATTCATCACCAGCTCTGCACCTAGAAAAACGTTTTATTAATAATTGCATACAAATAAATCAAAGTTAAAAAAATAATAACAAAACATTGTAAAAAGCTCCTATAAACTTCTTCCATTCACTTTAATGCATTTTCCCAAAATGCTAAATTTTAACTGACATGTCCTAATTTTCACATTCCAAGAAAAAACTCCCAACTTTACTTACTTCTATTTGCTGGTCAAGAAATCAGTGATAAGCTGAATGTAACTGTATTCCATTTGAGCAGGGTTCTGTGAAAATTACTGAAGTTTTGGTGCCAAATCTGAACCCCATTGAAGTCAATAAGAGCTGAATTTTTAAAAACAGTAATGGACATTTTCTAGGCTATAGGCAAGGGATTGTGACACAAATGGCAAGGGAATGGGTATTGCCCTGGGGGACCAGCGCCAAAATTTGTTTTCAAAAATGCAAGCTGGGTGCAAGGATTTTAGTAATGTTTAAATGAACCATTAAAAATACAAGACTCCATTAAATATCATGGCTGGAAGATGCCCTGACCCTGGCTGTGAACTGGTACATCTGTGTGATGTATACAACCAACTACAGCAAAACTTTACAAATAAAAAATTTGTTTAAATTCCGGGCAAAATGACACCTCCAAGCCGCTTCACTCTGTAAACAAAGCAACTGGGGACTTTTATTCATCTATACCAGACCCTTATTTTAGATGAAGGTCTGTTATAGAATGGTATAGAATTAATTGGGTACCCCTACAAAAAAGAAAACAGCATGGAGTTACCCCCTAATTCAATCATGCTCTTTAAGTCTGCTATAAATTTTAAAGTGGGATCCCAAGTGAAAAAAATGGTGTAAGTTCCCCCCAAATTTCTGGCATGAATTTTAAGGGGAAACCCCATGCAAGCATTAAAAAACATAAGGTTGCCTCCAAAAATCCATACGAGCATGCAACCTGTCAGGCCATGAAATATAGAGTGGCTAGTGTATGTCCCCCTCCGGAACCATAGAAGGCCACTTGCCCTCAACATATCCTGGCAAAGCAACTTTTCCCCATGCTATTGAGAAAAAGGGCCTCTTACTCATAACCCTGGCTCAGTGTTTGTGAGGGTTTGTGGGATGAGGGCTTATCAGAAGCCTCCTGTAACAATAAGGTGGCATGTAGATACTGTCCTTTCATGTGAAAGAGTAAGGGTATCCCTACACATTCAAAAAAATGTGCAGTGTAAATAGGATGGAACTCTGAAATAAATATTCCAGCAACCCCCAATACTAGCTTTCAGACAACCCCCCAACCTCAGAAATAAACTAATCAGTAGGAAACTTCCTTCTGATCAAGATGTCACAAATAATGGAAGCAACCAAATCAATCCATCAAAAAGTGTCAGACACTCAAAAGGGATCTTCAATATCTCCGGATCGTACAGCTGCACCTCTAAACATGTTGTGTACCTTATCCAGTGCAGAAAATGTAGCAAAGGATCTTATGTTGGCGAAACAGGACAGAAGTTGCAAGCAAGGATAAATTTGCACAGACATACTATTAAGGAACATAAAGAAGATGACTTTTGCACACCTGTGGGACACCATTTCGTACAACCAGACTACACTATAGAAGACCTCAATATTTTAGTTCTTAAAGGAAATGTCTTATCTCTAGTCTCTTTTTTTTTTCATCCCCCACATCTCTTCTAACATTCTGCTAAATCTTTGTGTATTGCTTGGACCTTGAAGAAGGGTACATTCCCCGAAAGCTTGTCCTCAAAATTGTATGTAAGTGCAAATAAAAAAGTATCACAGGCAGTACTCAATTGTTTCTGTCGCAAATGCACTAATACGGCTACAATCACCTCAAGTACAGTGTAAATAAAAACCGAGACACAGTTTTTGACAAGTAGCAAAAACAAAAGTCCCAGAATGTACATCCATCATCCGTCACATCATCCAGCAATGTAGATCCATGTCAATCACATTGTCCAATTTCTGCCAACTTACCAAAAAAAGCCCTCTGTCGACTTACATCTGTTCTCATATCATTCATTCCCGCTCAGTTACAGGTCCAACAGGATGACAGCTGTTATAGCAAGGTATCCGGTCTGTCGGAGGACATCATTGACCATATATGGATATTATGGTGGGAGCTTAATAGAAATTGTCAATTGTAGAGATATGGCAGTGGGGGCCTGAAGGATCCAAATTTTTCCATGTATATGCAGTGGGTTCTGCTACAACCATACACTGTGTGAGCAGGAAGCATAAAGTTGCACTACAGCTGCCATCTGGGTGTCTCTTTGACCCAAGTATGAAGCTCTTCTCAGTTTCCTCTCTACCTTGGGAGATAAATGATTTGGTTCTTTTTTTTTACTCTATGTCCCTGTATTCTGAAGAAGCTAATTATGAAATGTGCCAAAATTCAGCTGTTCTCCTGGTATCGCTACAATGTAATGAATGTATGCTATGCTAATGATGCAAAAATTGAGCTATACCCTTAAAGAGGTTTTTTTCCCTCATTTAAACAATGAATAGAAGAACTTTGGCTAAATAATCCATGATACACTAGGAGACAAGCTATCAGGGATAACCTTTATTTGTGATTTGCTTTGTTTTCAAGGTTCATGGTATCATGCAGATTTTATGGATGAAATAATTTTTGAAATATCTGTTTGTATAAAGAACATTTTACAGTTTTACATACAAATACAATTGTGTAGTGTATTTCTGGCACCTGAAAAAATCCCACTAATAATGTAAGTATGCATATGGTTCTTGACAGAAACTGGTCAGTGGCAGGACAGTCGTAAGGTAGCATGAACCAGGACAGCATAAGCAAACTACTATTCAATTTCTATTTACCAGTCAAAAGAATGTGTTGCTGCTAAAATTAATTGAAAAAGCCTTTTTTCCAACCCAAATTAATTAGATTGAGGTACTGTATATAAGCTAACTGGAAAAGGAAAAAAAAATCAATTTTACAGCCAAATATGTGCTGCCACAGTATCCTGTCACAGAAACTATCCATAAAAATTACACTGCTCCATAACATCAGGTACAGCTTTAAGGCACCCCCCCCCCCCCAAATACTGTATGTTATTCAAATGATTTGTATATTTTAAATGTATCACAGTAGTTTACCTATTAGCCCTAAAAAAACAAGATTCACCTGCTATAGACATCAATAGGTTTCAATGCTAAGTTTCGCTTTGCCAAATTTCTAACAGAGTTTGCCGCTCCCTTAGTAAATTGAACCCACACACATTTGCCCATCCCTAGTGGGCAGTGCTTCTCACATTGCTATTACTGGGAGACTCCAAGATAAATAATAAACACAGATACTGCAATGCTTGGGAATGAAAACTTCAATGAGGGTGCAGTGGATTTACTGCTGGATAAACTGGATAAAGGGGGCTTTCTAGTCTGAAGTGTATGACCTAATGCAGTGTTTCTCAACGTTTTTTTAGTCAAGGCACCCTTTAAAATTATGAACAGTCCCGAGGCAGGTTGTAATGGTGCACAATGAAAACCTGTGGCTTTGTGTAACTAAAAGGCAAGCTTGTTCCACCCGTTGCCTTGTGTACAAGTTTTCGGCAATATTTAAACATTTTGCAAAGGGATCCCTGAAGAAACCTCAAGACACTCTGGTTGAAAAAGGCTGCACTAATCAACCTGTTTAAACCATGGCTGTAGCCTGAGCTTCTTAGAGGGTCACAAATAATAGTGTGGGTCACCATGGACCTTATCAGGAAATCTGGGCTAGCCAAATGGCCTGGTCATCTAAGTATGTGCATATCTGTATGAGCATTGCTCTGCTAAGTGCTAGGTGCACATATGCACACAGAAATGGGCACATTGGTACACATGTGTGCATGCTCAGATTCAGTATTGGCACCTGATGGCCTATTAAAGGGATGCTATAATTCACTGTTATTGCTGACTGGTCTTCAGTGTTTTCCTTGCTTCTTGACTCTTCTGCAAATGTTTTTTGTTATCGACCTGACCTCATTTTGGATCCAGCTTTGTACTATTGCTCAGCCAGTTGCTAACCTTGGCTTCATCCCTATCCTTGATCTGGTTCTGATTTGGAACTGCTTTGCTTATTTGTTGCTGACCTCAGTTTAATCTATAATCTTGATACTGGCTCAAGATTCTGCTCCACTCCATTGCCAAATGCCTACTTGCATTATGTCCAGATTCAGTTGTGGACTCCTATGTATGGTCCTGCTACCTGCCTGC